CTCTGGAGCCGCCAAAAAAAAGCTGGTTTCCGGTACGGTACTCAAAAATCAAAATTTCGGTTTTAGTTGTCAAAACGGTTTTTCAAAAACGGTTTGCAAAAACGGCTCAGCGTGAGTGCCCCTAATGTATGTAATTTCAAGCTTTGAGAACTGGCTGGTTGCCACGAAACCTTTCACCGATTCGGGTTCCATGGGAGGACCCAACTTTAGGTCGTTTGAAACGTAGCTTACTCGTCCAAATATATATAGACTTTCCTGTAGAAACTGAATCGGATGCTAAGCAGCCAGCACTCGGGAACATGAACCCGGATGAGGTCGTGGTTCTTTTGGAGTCATTACCGGTGGAGGATGAGTTAGGGCTTGGTGCAGAGTTGCCAGGCCTGGGAAACGGTTTTGTGTAGCGTTGCCTATAAGGGATACTTGGGTGGGAAATTTCTGGAATCTCATTGCAAAAGGGGTTTTCTATGGAGTATGGTTATAAGAAGGGAATGGAAGAAATGGCCAAAGGGGGTAAAAAGAGCTAAGATGTCTATTGACTATGTATGGGCTATGAGTAGTCCGGAATATTTGAGGTAGAGCGCTGACAATCATATTTGGCTTCTTATGTAGTTACCTGCCCTGGCCCTACTAGTCTCCACTTTCCCACTTTAGTCTTATCCTCTTTGCCATCCCCCAATAATGCTCATAACACTATATCCTTCCTCCATTACGCCATGTTATCAGGTTACAGGGAGTAACCTCAGTTTCTGGGTTGAGTGGTTTTTCTGGATGCGGAAGCGTGGGGGGGGATGGTCGGTTGTGTGAAAATGATTTCTTGAATACAAAAACACTGATGAGGTAATGTTGAAAAAACACAAAGGAGAATAAAAGGAATTGAGAAAAATCCAGATCTAATATGACAGGGTCGTAAACTGAATCCAAAACCTGGATACCCTCCCGCATCCAGGGGCCCTCTCACGTCAACTGACCAACTCATAAATTTACTCCAACACCAGATACGAAATACCAACCCCATTGATAACACTATTAAACCATGAATTTGCATCCCACGTCATTCCAAAGATATTGACGTTCGAACACGTGACCCCAAGCCTGGGGTTAGTCTTGCTAGTGTCAATATCCAAGTAATTTACTCCAGCCATCACTCTAGGGGTTTTCTTAAAAACACCCTCCGGAAACCCAACATACCCGGTATTATATAACTGTGGCCAGGTCGTAGGCCTCTGAGCCTCGGTACTCGTGGTCCCGCTATATATCCCCGGCCTGTCCGCTGGATACGCAACCCATGACACCACAGCATCATTCACTGGCGCTACGAGACCCTTGATCTCAAACCTCACTGAGAACCCGTATGTGTGAATACCCGCGGCGGAGACTCTGACACCCTTCTCTAGCTCCACTTCGCTCAACCAGACTACTACCTTTGGCGGCGAGGAAAAATTGCGCTCGAATTGTACCGGGCGAATCACCTCAGTCCAAGCCGTACCATCGCTAAGCCAGTTTTCCCAGTTTTCGCGGACCGTCCCACACAGGAAGTCTTCGTCTTCGGGTGGGATTGCCAACCAAGAGCAGGCCCCGGAGTAAAAGGGCTTCTTAGAGAGGATCGTGCCGGTGAAGCTCGATGCGCATTTATCGCTAACGGAGACTGCGAGGTGTGGCCATGCATAATCCAGATCAAAGTGTGTTATTGCAATGACTAAACCAGGATTCCTTGAGTAAGGGCTCGAGAAATGTATTCTGCGCGTGACTTCCGCGGTTTTGTACGTGGTGGAGCGAACCTCGCGACTACTGAAGTGCCCGATTTGTAGGATTGGCGGCTGAGAGTTTTGATCCTCTGAGGGTGGAGGAGTCCAGGAAGCGCGAGCAGTCTCGGAAGAAGAACTGGATGCCATAGCCTTCGTTCAGGAAATCTCAAAGATTGACGAAATGTGTTAAAAAGGGAATGCCTTGTTTGATAGCGCGGACGTTATTCAGCTAGAGAGAGGAAGTACGGTGCTTGGTAAATAAATACACCACTCCTTATGCAATAGGATACGGTATAACTGTGGCTTCAACCAAGCTGAAGAACTGGTGGCCTAAATGTGGCTGGATCAGCCACACCTGTCGCTGAGAGCGCCACATTACCTTGATTCGTCTTCAATTAGTGGGTGTGGGGATTTGCCTGACAGTGGAGAGAGGGATCTGTAGGTTGTGATTCCTTGACCTGACAAGAGCTTGCTCAAATGCATCTTAATTCCTCGTGAGTAGTGGGTTCATGCAATATCACTCGGAATCTCTGCTACTGATGTGTTGTCCGGAGCGCGTTGGCGTTGTAATGGAAACGGTTGGTATTGGTATGAGTGTTGTCACGGGAATGGCCATTGTCGCGGGAATGTAGAGAATCTATAGGTGACAGGAATTACATGATCGGGGATCGGCATGGAATGTTGAAATCATGGAGGCTGCGCTGGACAAAGAAACCTTTAAGTATTGATCGTTAATGTTGTCGTTCATTTGAGACAGAAGGGTTAAATGATATAATGTTTGACTTCGGGTTTCATGATGCAATTCGAATTATTGGGGAGGATAAAAGCTTGTGAAGAGAGTGCGAGATTAACGAGATCCTCCAATTCTTTCGCGTTTGTTCATGCCGCGAGGTACTAGTACAATGTGACAGTCATCGGGTCGTTCAAAATTTCAAATCCCCAGATCAATAGTCAAGCCCACCCAAATTTATGTTACAGATTCCTTACTTTGAAGTGGTATATAGATCTATAGGGTGATGTCTCAGACAGAGACCGAGAAATCTTCCACTTTAATCTCCCAGGTCCAGCATTGGTTAATAAACGAACCCCTGAGAGGATAAGAAATAGGATTGGCTATCATATACACCCACCGGATAGCTTCTAATAACAGAGTATTTGTGAAAAACAAGCATCACTGTGAATATCGAATGTTACCTACTCTCCCGAGATGGCTTACGATCATATGGCTCCCCTGCTATCTTTAACTCATAAAAAAAGAGTCTATGTGACCATCCCTACAATTATAATAACTGATACCTCACTTACTGCCTCAAACTGAGCATAACTCCACAAAGCTGGACATATTAAAAGTCCTGGGTGGTTGAGAAAGACAGGGACTCTCTCCATTTGATTTCCAAGCTGCAATGATGATGAGAAGACTGGTAAGATGAGTTAACATATGATAAGTTATTGAACATATAGCTCACGACATTGGAGTGCAGCAAGCAGATGCATGAAATGTCACTCGACTGGCAACTCCATCGTTAGCAGCCCCCCTTGGATACCCGCCAGTGAAATATTGAGTATACTGTCTGGAAGTCAAGGCAAGAATTTGGTGAAGCCTGAATTGTGAGTGGTCTTCAGGATTTACAAAATTATGGCCTTGAGCTTTCAGTAAGTTGGTTCATTACATCAAGGCTTTCTTTTATTCATATTTCTCCCATTAATTTTTGTTACTTTATCAGCATATGAGACAAAATGGATATGATCGAGAGACAAGCCTGGTGAGCCATCAGTTGTCTCGTGGAATAATTCTCGCGTTCGTGAGAATTATTCCCAAAGCCTCCAGAAAGCATCTTTAGTGAGGAATGCGGGCGATTATTTTAGTTTAGAAGGCTTCCGATATCCATAATATCGGGAACCTTTCAAGCACCATTATCTGCGGCCCATATCCTGTCTCATTTCCACAAAGACACGCCTATGTGGGGAATCAAAAATAACCTAGGCTATATACAGAGCATGTTTGAAAACCTTCCGAGGTTCTTTTTGTTTTTACATTAGTGGACTTGTGCTAACCTTCGGATATAGGGCCCTCAGCTTATATTGACATCTTAACGTGCACGGTGTTGGGGCTTTTCACTAAGATCAATCTGCAACTGCCCTCAATAATCAAGGTAAGTACGGAGATGCCAAGACTTTTCGATCGGAGAATTTATTCCCGTATCTCTCATTCTCCCCTACAATTGCCCAATTTTTCTCCCACGTTTAGTGACCGTGTGTTAGATCTGGCTCAGCTAAAGAATATTCTGGCACATAAACGGGTCAGTAATAATTAATTAACAGGCAACGAGGCGTACTACGGTGCTCGCAGAACCAGGTTGATTTGCTACAATAGTCTGACTTTAATTACGCTTCTCTTCTTCTCTTCTCCTAACTTCACACAAGTCTGACAAAGGAAAAGACCCAACCTCCCCCAGCTATAAAAACTACAGCGTGATGATTCCCGCCAGTCTTTTTGACAATATATACCGTCTTACTGTGTTTAAAAAATAATACATTCTTAATAACTATAAGGGAAACCAGTAACACTTGCCTCCGCTCTTTAGCTATTGGTTCTGATCTCAATGCTTCAGGGATTCATTATAAAGGATCACTCGTCATGGCTGGTTTCTAATGCGCTGACAGAGCACTCTCTGATATGTACTTTATGTGTACTAGCTCTGCCTACCAGTATGACAGAGTTCGTCCATATTATTTTCACTCGGTTTAAAGATGTCTATCGTTATTTCACTCTTACATTTTTCTTTCCTGTCATAGTTCAATCAATTCATCGAACATGCAATCCAGTTCTCACTAATTTTCTCTTGACTTTCGTAATTACGTGATATGTGGTTTGATTTCTTTTCCTACTCCTACGCCACGCCCCCGCCTCTCTACATAAACAGTGGGTGCGCTTGACTGTCTCCGATAATAAGATCTACTTCTTCGGCCTCTCTCTCTAAGTCTCTAGTGCACTGTACGATCCAGTCAGTATTTGCAAAATAATGTATACGTTCGCTCCACGTACACCACCTCGCCAGGACCACTAGGGTTTTGGGTGGTGCCATGATTTGTGTTTTCAACAACTCGTGATCACAAGCTCCATTCTCATTTTTTCCACCAATATCCAAAATATGCTTATATTCCCGCCGCCCACCCACCAAAGCCTCACATTCCGCCGCCCCCAAAAAGACAGATAAAAAGAGAAAACCCCTCCTCGTTGGGGCAGGCAAAACATGCTCTGACTCGGAGTTGAACCGAGGATCTCCATATCTCGTATTGCGAATACTAGTGTGGCGCCTTACCAACTTAGCCACCAGAGCTTACTGTTGAACTTCAGTATTGAGAACATGAGCCGTTGTGGTGCTAGCGTTAGCATAGCCCGGGATGGGATGGGATAGGATTGCTAACGCGGTCAAGTTGAGCCCGGAGTTTACTGGATTTGAGAGTAGTTTAGTCCGGTATACTATGCCGTACAGTGCAGTTGAAAATTAAAAATACGATGAACTACTGGCATGAGTTGGTTAGTTGGTTTGTGGAAATAAGTAATTACGGGAGGAAGGTTTTTTTTTTATGTAATGGCACAAGTGAACAGACAAACGGAGCTATCAGTAATGCATTCTTGGAGTTGCCGATCATCTTTGGTGCATGGCCGAGGATTAATTGTTGGAAACCAAAGGTGTGAAGGAGGAGGAAATTGCAGTCAGAAGAAGGCTTGAGACACCCGATGACATTGGGCGGCACTGATATAAGATGATGAGGCGGGACTAGCCCGAGGAAGACCGTGATTGGAACGTTTGACCACGCGTCATCACTGTATTTCCTCACAAGAGCACGCGTCATCCCCTTCACGTCTGTAAGCCTTATTTCTCTTGTGACCCCTGTAAGCATGGTGGTGGGCAAGAGAGAGGAAGAGAACGTCTTATTGTATTTCCTAGCTACCGTTGTGCTACCTAAGGTGAAATACATAACTGCCAAGCCTGGACTATTCTATCCATCGAAACCCTAAACACTCATGAGGATAACCCCAGTACCTAAACATGCTAACAACCCCTTCTCCTTTAAATTCTTCATTTCTCCTTATCTGCTCTTCCCAGACAGCAATCCTGCCAGGCCTTAATTTTGCTTTCTGTGACTATTCTTACAACTCTAACAGCAGGTGCCCAGTCGCGCTCCGAGACTAAACATACAAAGTCCGGAAGCAATGCCAGGCTTGCAAGGTTGAGAAAGAAAAGCTCTTACTCGGGGTGGCTTTTGAAATGGGGATGGTGATGAGAATGGTATGATCAGAGATTTGTTAGAATGGTGAACCATTAGCTAACAGGATCGCAGTAGTCAAAGAAGGTGCATGGATTATCACTCGTCTGGCGACTAGGGGTCCTGTCGGAGGTCACGAGTGAAGTGAGGGAACGAAGATAGAATAAAGTGAAAACAGTGTATGTATATTGGCTGTATTATATAGAAACATGTGTCTGAGACCTTCCTACTTATACCCATAAGGGGTATCCATATACGGTGATATGATACTTGACCTTTGCCTACGTACCGGGTAGCACGGCAGGTGTACATTTCATCACATTGAAGTAACACTTCCAACAGGTCCCATGGTGTAATATACGACACGGTACCACACACTAGTGTAACGTATGGTAAACCTACCAGATCCCGTGAGCCGGTCCAGTATAATATGTTTTAAGAGTTCAAAAGAGACCCTAGGAGTAGAAGGGAGCAGAGTTTAGGCAGAAGAGGAAAAGAAAACCCATACTCCGGCACTGCCGATACGGATACGAATGTTATGAACCCAACTTGACCTGAAATCGGTGGCAAAAGACGCAATTACAGGGCATTCAAAATCTTGGTTTGAATTGGCGTTTTCCGGTAATGTATGCTACAACTGTAATTTACGGTACGGTATCGAACTTTTACTATACCGTGACATACCGTATTATTCGAACACTATCCTGCGGTTCGTCGGTTCGTGACTCCATGTTGGACTCCGGGCAGCCGGTGTTGATATATATAGTTCAGATGCCTACACCAGGATTTCGTGAAGCTTTAATCCGGGGTAGTTTTCATCCTGACTATGGACTGTAATGACATTATTTATTTCTGAATCCTTACATTTTGACCAAATTTTGCATTTCTTCATATCGATTGTTGCAATAGTTTTGAGTGTCCCAAAGGCCAGAAGGAGAGAAATCTACTCGCGCGGCCGAGTTGAAGCCAGACACCTAAGGTGGTAGTTTCCATACAAAGTGTTCGGCTTCAATTCGGCAGGCAAGTAGTCACCAAACACACTAAATTAAGCCAAGCAATAAGCTGCGGGTTTCTTCAGGCCAGAATGATCTAAACTCCCTTTCTCCCATTTCCCCTTTGCTCGTATCATTTATTACCTTTCTATCATAACTTTTTTTATACTAGTATATACTCCGTTATTCACTTTTGCTTTATTATCTTTTATCACTGACCAGTGATAAACAAATTCGCATACATAGTCGTTATCACCTGGCAACAGGATCAAGCTGATAGTGCTCGTGCTATATTTAGGTTAACTCCCCATTCTCTTCTGAAGGGGGGATCTGCATGTTGATACTGGCCACCACATAGATTCCTGTACAGCGCTCACCTCGTAAAACCCGATTGCTCACCAAATAGGGTCATAACGCTTGATGCTACCATGTGTGTATAGCATACCTTCAATGAAATCTTATCGATCTTTTATTTTTATTTTCTATTGCATATGATATCTAAAAACTGTATACATAATGTGTTATGATTTTGTAGCACAGTGGTTATGATTTGTGCAGTTATTGTATGGATGGGGGTTCAACTCTCATCAGTGGAACCTCTTTTTTTTTTGGTCTCTATCGCTATCCTCTGTCCGTCAATAGTGCAGTATTCCTATGTGGGTTAAGCTTTTGGTTAGCAGTATGATATCATTGTGGTCCTGAATCGCGATGTAGCAAAATTGCATCGTCGTGTTCGGCATGACGGAATAGTGATTACGCATACCGTAAAAACTCGGGTATAACGAACTGGCCTGGGCTGATCGTGCAGCAATTTCCAGCGCTTTGAATGGCCAAAGAGAGAGTGTAAAGACGCTTGCTGATGTTATCTGACCCAGTTCGTGAGCTCTTCACCAATCAAGAGGCTTTAATCTTCCTGCACAACCAGTCCAGACAAGTTCGTTATACCCGAGTTTTTACGGTAGGTGGTAGAAAATATACCAAAATGATTTCACTGCTTTTGTTAATTTGTTTAACACCATTGAGTTGATAATCACTCTGATATAATCTATACTTCTGAGTCTCTCAGCATATATCAAGTCCCACTATCAGGTAAACTTCTAATCCTGATATTATGATGCTCCATTTTCCAGAATCGGGTGAACACTAAGACTAATTCCCAAAATTTAGTGGGATGTGTGGAAATTCTGCACTAAACAATCTAGGCAATTAGAATAAGGGTAAAAAAAAAAGAAAGGTTCCACTCCTCTGAGTTGAACCCTCCAGCCATGCAATGACTTTACAAATAATAACCATTGTGCTACAAAACCATAACATATTGTGTATACTCTGTTTGAAAATTATATACAGCAATAAAATAAAAATAAAAATAATAAAAGATGTATTTGAAGGTACAATCACGGTAGCATCAATTGCAAGCATTCCTCCGGAAAACCCTACTATGCAAGAAATAGCGTGGGTTTGGTTGGGTCATCTCTGTCTAACCAAGATACTCACCTAAACCAACCCCATTCCACGAACCATGTTGAACCAACCTCACACCATTGGTTGGGATCTTTATTTGAAAGGAGGTAGAAATGCATTGTTTTGGCTTTGGATATTGGGGTTACGGACATGTGTATTGATAAGCCGGTTAATATGAGCCATCATTCGATGGTCAAAAGCTGACAAGAATCTTCAGAACCTGGTGCATGAGTCATCACTCGAACTGCCTGTCAACTTTAGTTTGCACCAGCAGTTGCCGCCTCCTCGAGAACCATGCATCCCTTAGTCTGTTAGAGCACCCAAGAAATCGGTGGATTAAGGTCTCAGTTTGAAACTCTAGTAATTTATTTCCAGTTAGGGAAGGATACTTTCCAGATCTCATTACTTTCTTAACCAGATCTCTTGGGCGCAGCATACGACAGACTAAGGGACAGCATACATTTCCTCACTTATATCAAAGGATATTAGATGCCCAAAATCCAAATAACTGACTCCATCCGCCAAGACTTGACTTACGATTTTTTTACTGTTATATTTACATTTTTTACATTTTTTTACTAGTGGCCAAAGCACAGAATACTAGAACTAGAGAAATATAGTCAAATGTACTAAATTAAGAGAGGCAATAAGCAGCGGGTTTCTTCAGAACAGATCGATTTATAATCCCTGCCTTCCATCTCCTATTTTCTCGTATCCCCCGCAGTGTTGATAGTGCTGAATTTCTCTACATCATGCTAAGATTCTGTTAGCTGTATCTTTCCTAGCCAGAAACCAGAAGTGGGAGTAACGCATCATCATATCGGGTATGGTGGGGCACTAGTTACACCTAGGAGACAGAACAATACACCACAATACTCACAGTGCCGGTTTGCTCTGCCAGCTCCTATAATGATATCGCTCATCCGCGAGCCTTTTTGCCAGTAAAATGCATTGGGGAAGCATAGTTGCAACCTAGTTCAGAAAACTCTCAACCTCAAGGACCTAGACTACATCCACCTCAGTTCTCTTGGACGACAACGAAGGACCTTATTACCACAACCACTGAAAGCCCTTACAAAAGTCCTCACCAGCAAAACTTGCAGATGGCTTGCTATGCTGGGCGCTTACTATGGCGTAGAATATGTTGATTCAAGTTTTTTGTTTCACGCACATATAATACAGGTAGCCAGTGTTAGAGTTTAGTTTTAAGGTGTCCTTCACCATTTCACCATTGCGGTAACTGTGGCTATTCAAGGTATTTTATTGGCTAAAACATCCGAGGATGAGCGATACCATTATAAAAACTGGCAGAGCAAACCGGCGCCTTGAGTAATTCCCCCACTTTTGTCAGTTTATTTAGCCCAGTGAGTTGATAACTTCTTTGATATCCTGTGTACCCCTGAGTGTAGCAGCATATTTGAAGCCCCATCATCAGGTAAACTCCCAAACCTAACAATACGATACTCCCCTTTGTGGTATCAGGTCAGCACTAACACTAGAAGCCAAAATTTACTGGGATGTAGGGAAATTTGGTAGTATCAATACTTCAGGGGATAATTTATTACCTTTCATTTAAATCATTTTTATACTCCTTTATTCACTATTGCTTTATT